CATGCGTGGGTGGGCGGCGCCCCACCAGGGTTGCCAGATCTTCCGATTTGGCAGGAAAAATTCCGATTTTTGAAACCTTTTCCGACGACTTTCCTACATTCCGGTTTTTTCCGATTTTGGCATATTTTTCCGACCACCTTCCGATTTCCTAATTTTTCTCCGGTTTTTGGAGTCTTTCATATAAATTCAAGTTCTTAGAATATTCTAGAATAATTTAAGACTGACTCGCTACAGTATGTATATTGCGATCTATTTCACTATAATTATAGGGTGGTAGAGTGCCATGAGCTCCACAAAGTACACTTCAGTGCTCTGAAAGCTTATGCTCCAATAAAATTAGGACGTTTTACAGACAACAAATATCCACTTTTCTATCGTGATGAACTAGTTTTCTCTGTTCGTTTACTACACTGATAATTAAGAATATTTTCATTTTTGAATATATTTTTATTTCATTACAGATTTAATAAAACTAATCATAACATGTGGGCACTAAATTAGCTGTTATAGAATTGAAAATCAAAATGAGTTCCGTTCATCCTTGTGGACATTTTTATAGTATGTGTTACCTCAATCTGGTGTTTTGAAGGACATTAGAGCTAATAAGAAAGTATGAACAAAAACGTTATACAGAATAAATCTTAGTTTCTGTTGGACAATTTGTGTGAAATGCATGTGTGCGTATAAGTTTACAATGCTAATTTTATTCTTTTGTCAAGTTGGTTACAGGATTTTGAAAAAAAACAATCTGACCTTGTTTAAGTGACTTATGTGGATTTTTTGATAATGAGTAAATTGCCTATGTAAACTTATATTTTCTTTAATTTTTTATGAAGTATCTTTTAAAATATTATTTCGAAAAATTAATAGAAGCAAGATAAAGGATATAGCCCTATTTGAATCAAACAGACTAGCTATTTAAGCATTAAAAAAAATACTTTCCGATTTTTTCCGATTTTGAGAATAAAAATGCCGACGTTTTTCCGGTTTTTTAATTTTCGATCTGGCGACCCTGCGCCCCACTCTCTTACAAAATGATTCTACTATGCTAAGACAACGAAAATGTCTATGTATTTATTTAACATTTTTTCCCATCGGTGTGTGAACAGAGACCTTGTGTGAGAGGGCGCTGTCCACTCATACCCTCCTTAGATACACCACTACAAATATTGTTATAAAAAATTTGCTTTTTTTAAAAATTACCGGTGAGTGGGCTGAGCCCACTCATGCCCTACCTTGGTTACGCCACTAGTTTTTAATTTTTAATTTTCTACCGCTGATTCCTCAACAATTCTTATAGCTACAAAAATTTTTTTTATATGAGCAGATGCAGAATTTTGTTTTCTTTCCCGTGATATAAAAATAATTATTTTATGACGAAAAATGATAGAGATATTACAGTCACAATGAAGACCTATGAAACGTCCGTTCGCTTTAGGCACATTGACTCTAGTTTTAGATACAAATTCATTTGCTTACAAAGATAAATATTATCGGCAAATTAAAGGTGGTGCAATGGGTTCACCATTTACTATGGTTCTCGCCAATATTTATGTTAGAATGAGAACAAAAATTAATTTAACATCAAAATAGACATCATGAAATTTATGGCCGGTGAGTTTCAAATTATTATTTCTATATGCTTTTATACTGATACTTTATTAATATTTTGTAGATATATTGACGATGTATTTATGACTACGAATTTATCAAAAGAAGAAATTTTACAACAACTTCATGAAACAATGAAAACAGATCCTAACATTAAAATTACTATTATAATAAATCAATCATTAGAATATCTCGATACTAGTATTGAAAATAATAATGGAAATTTAAAAACAACTATTTATCATAAATCAGCTTGGGAACCTTATATTCTACCTTATAAATCTGATCATCCACGACACATGCATGCAAATATAATTTATACGATGTTAGTCAGAGCAGCACGTCTTTGTTCAAGTGTGGAAAATTTTGATATGGAACGATTAAGTACAGAAATGATTTTATTAGTTAATGGTTATCCACCAAAATTTATACAACAACACATGAAAAATTTCTTTATTCAACATAATGCCATGAATGTGTGGACTGAACTCAATAGTGAAGCATATCAACAACTACATAATACCTTACTTTACAAACCAACACGAAGAGAACTTAAATCCAAAGTCCAAACAAATGGTGCCTTAATTCTAAACAGGAATAATTATGAACATAAAGATCAAATTTATCTACATTACACATTTGAAAATGGACCATTATTAGATTTCAAAAAAG